GAAAATGAAAATGAAAATGAAAATGAAATAAAATATTCAAACTCAAAAAAAAAGAAGGATGCAATTGACTGTTGTAAGTTGCTTATCCCCTCCCCTGCCTGGCAGCAACCAATCCCAGCCCTGCTGTATGCTACATCTTACCTGCTTGCCGACCTCATTGAGGCTCCTTGGGTCTTGCTTAATGACCAATAATATTTGCTTAATGACAGCAATGGGGATTGCCAGGATTGCCATTGTTAAGCAATGCTGTCATTTTTTTTACAATGACATCACTAACCATTGGAAATTCCAGTCCCAATTATTGTTAACTGAGGACTTATATTTCTCTGTTTTAGTGTAATAGGTAATATTTCACAGTAAGTCGATCTTTGAGAAGTCACTTATATTTGATCAGTGGAAAGATGTTTTGTTAAACGTCATAAATATTTCCAAGAAAAATAGTTTTTCAATAATATAACTGGAGGCACTAGCTATCCCCGAACCAGTATAGGCGAGGAGTAAAAAGGGCTACAGATTCTTATTTAATATATACTCAGATGAAGTATGGCTTTGTAGAATTAAATTATTAGGCGTGATATTGGGAATCATGTTTTTGTTTAGTTTATCTCACTAAATATTTCCAGGAAGAACTTGCTTCATCTCAAGTTAGGCTATTCCACTATCAAATCATTGAAATATTGGTGCTGATTTGGCTAGATTTAGCAGTATTTTATTTATTGATAAAATGCCAGCTACTCTTCTGATTCTAGGCATCTTACAACACAAAATATAATAATAAATAAAATAATAAAATATATTTACTGATTATAATTATGTGCCATCAAGGTTTTTTTGACTGCTAGTGACCACATAGATAGGTGTCCTTCATCATGATCTAACCTTAACCTGTTCTTCAAGTCTTCCAACAATGCACTAATTGCCACTAACTGAGCAATACAGTACTGTAAATACATTTATAAAACCAGCAAAATATATAAATAAACCTGCAATAAAATTTATTTATTTATTTCTATCCCACTCTTATTATTCTTGGAAAGTTGGAATGCTCTTTTTCTACTACAGAGAAAGTCTTGGGCCTCCTGATTTCTTCCAGAATGAGTATCTGGAAATCCTCTCCCTATTAAATTACCTGGATCAAGCAAATTCCTCATAAGAAAAAGATGGATGTTCAGTGTATTGTACAATCCTCTTTAGCCTATTATTTTCTACAAACCTAAGTAATCTGATTAATTTATGGGACATGCAAATTACAAAAATCAAGTTAAGTAACCATTCAATTAATTGTGTGAACAAAGTCTATCATAATTTTATCCTAATACTTGACTACTTTCATATTTCCACCTATTGGTTCATGTTTGGTCTTCAAGTATAATAGAAAATCATTCTGTTTTCCCTCTTATGTTAACAGCCTGTGAAATTGTGATCTAATCTCTCCTTCCATTTCTCTTTTCAAGCTAAATATATCCAGTCCTTCCAAGTGTTCTTAGTAGGACTTAATTTCCATCATGTCATTTTGCTAGACATTTGACGTTGTCATTTTAAAATGTGGATCAGATTATTCCAAATAATATTTTCTATTATTTCATGAACATTTCAGTATTTTAACCCTGTGTACCATACTTGATATGATATGCTGAATTATTTTTAGTATGGTTGTTTGACATGTTTATTCCTTTTCTGTTGTACATTACCAGAGTCACTTCTTGTGAAATGGGTGGCCGTATAAATTTTATAAATAAATAGATAAATAATAAATATAGACTTCGTAATACATGCTGTGCAGAATTAATTCCCACTAGATTCAGTATTGTGTACTCCCAGGAAAATGGGTATAGAAAGATAATTAATGAAATGATCATTAATCCACAGAACATTCTATGGGACATTTGAAAATATGTATTCATTGGTTCTTACTTGGATGGGTAAAAGAAAATGGTTGGGCTTATATACAGTAGGTGACCATATGCCCTTCCCTCATAAATACTAAGGAAGCTGTTTTCTGTACCAGCTGAAGTTTCTATCTTTAAAAGCAATCCTTTCAATAGAAAGTTATTTTCTATTGCAATCAACATAGAATGTGTTAGAGTGTAATTTACATCTTGGTAACCATATACTGATTGATGGGTAACATTGTGATTATAATCAACTAACTTGTTTCCTATGAGGCTTCCCATCCTCCCTTATTTTTATTTTGTTGTAGATTCTATTAATTAAAAAATATCAAATGAAAAACCGACACAGCAGCATTTTTTTAATTTACAATCACGCCTCTAGATCTCACATAGAGTCCATTGGCCTCATTGAAAAATGGTTAAGCAGTGGAGATTGAAGGCGAGACCTTATAAGAAGTATTCTTATTTATGTGGAAAAAATATCGAACGTAAACTGGAAGCCTAAGGAGCAAAAAGATAATGCTGAAGGATTGAAAAGAGATAAAGGAGCAAGTTTACTCATTGGTCTTCTAGTAAATACAACTTACAAATTTGTAAATACAAATTTGATGAGTAGTCAAAGCTGTCCTTGGACAGCCGTTTTATGAGAATAGCCATTTGGTGTTAACATTCTAAATATGCTTGCTGTCCCCCCAATGTATAATCTTTTCTACCTGATTATATTTGTGTTCCTTGCTTTCTCTCTGTGTTATCTTAAACTGAAAATAAATATCTTTTCTTAGGTGCGAGGCGCTCCAGCCATTGCTATTATAGGTTGTCTGAGTTTGGCAGTGGAATTGCATAATAAAAGAAATGAAGAGCTGAGTTTGGGTAATCTGGAGATTTTTGTGTTGGACTCACTAAGCTACTTAATAAGTGCCAGACCTACTGCTGTCAACATGGCCCGGGCAGCTCAGGAGTTGAGACACCTTGTCCAGCAGGAGGCAAAACATGAAGGGACTACTCCAGAGAGTTTACGAGAAAGGTGAGGGTTCAAGACCCTATCTTCTTTCTTCCCCCAAACTGTAAGCAAGAAACATGCAAGTTTGTGTAACCTCTTATTGTAGCGTGATCAACTGGGCAGAAGCATTGCTGGGCAAAGACCTGGAAGACAACAAAAGCATTGGGGAACATGGAGCTTACCATCTCTTGCAACGGGTGGGGCAGGACAAAGTGAGAGTCCTGACTCACTGCAATACCGGCTCATTGGCCACTGCTGGTTATGGCACTGCACTTGGTAAGTGGCATCTTTCTGCATTCAAGAAACATTACCGTTTCTGTCCTTTGTGACAAAAGTGTAAGAGATTATGGTAATACAGGTAGTCCTTGATTTACAATCATAGTTGGGACCAGAATTTCCATTGCTAAGCAAGATGGTTGGAAATTGCTATGCCTTGGATGCTTCCGGTTTGAAAGGATCAGCCAACTATAAACAGTTATCCAGGAGACACCCAAATGTGTTAATAGCACACATTCTTTGGGGAAGCTCCTTTCATGCTTTTATGTTATTTGATGTCATACAGTATGACATAAAATGACATGCAATTTTGTCACTTAGTGTCATTTAGTGTGCCTTATTTTAATTGTGATGTTTCTGACACAAATAAACAAACAAGCAAGACACTTAAGTGAGTCGGGCCAATTTTATGACCTTTTTTTGTTATGGTTGTTAAAAAAACCACTGCAGTTGTTAAATGAGTCATGTGTTACTAAATGAATCTATATTTCCTCTTTGACTTTGCTGGCTGGGAAGGTTTCAAATAGTGACCACATGACCCTAGGATGCTGCAACCTTTGTAAATACATACCGGTTGCCAAGCATCTGAATTTTGATCATGTGACCATGGGGATGCTGTAATGGTCGTAACTGCAAGAACTGGTTGTAAGAGATGTCACCTCTTATAGCAGCCTTCCTCAGTGTTCCAAGTTTGTTAGGATTTCAGCTCTCAATATCTGAAGGAAGATTCCAAATTGCTTTGTATGTTGACTGCTTACAGCCTTTTATATGGTCCTGTTATTTTGACTTGTTTGTAACTTTGCTTCATAGGTATCATTCGCTCATTACATGCCATGGGTCGTCTGGAGCATGTTTATTGCACTGAAACACGACCATACAATCAGGGGGCCCGGCTGACTGCTTATGAATTAGTATATGAGCAGGTGCCTTCAACACTCATTGCTGATAGCATGGCTTCCTTGGCAATGAAAGAAAAAAAGATATCAGGTAGATGTCTTGATTTCTTCTTTTTCTGCATTACTGCTGTACTTTCCAGATCCCATGCTAGGACATGAGCACATATGTGATTCAATGGCTGGCCAAGAGTCCAAGAGATCAAGTTGTTAAAGAAGATACTGTTTAGATCACTTAGCAATACTGATGTCTTGGTATTGGGTATTCTATTGTATTGGATAATAAACAAATTTAAAAACCACTAAAAGCTTAGTTCCAGCCTTCAGAATTCCTTGGTAGAATTGGCAGCGCTAATCAAATACATGGAAAGGAAAATCTTGTTGGAAGGAAGAACATATGCCTAATGTAAGTCTGAGTTGAAAGCAGTGTTTGTAATGGAGGAGTCTCAGTTTGAATCTCTAATCTTCATTTAAATGGATTTCAGATGAAAGGACAGAGAAAACCATATTTGAAATTCTGTCAGGGCTGTTTGCTATTATGAATATAAAAATATATGGCTTATTCCTGTAAAAGGCATAGTTCTGTTTTCTATATGCTGATCCTTATATTTTCTTACTGAATAGTCTAGTACATGCAATGTTCCAAGCCATCATCTGACTTAAGTTTTAGCAAATGTATTGTGTGAACCCAACCAATAGGAATTTAATCAATAAGCCTTATTTCAACCCAGTTTAACCAAAATTTCTATAGTCCCAATAAACTCTAGGAGATGGCACGAAGAACAAGAATGGTGGTAAGAACAAGAAAAATAATGAATTGTTCCCTCTCTTGCACCCTGAGAAAATTTTAAAGACATATGGGAACATCTACCCGATTCTGGAAAATGCAGAGCAGGCATGCAATTTTCACTAGGGAACTTTTGATAAAAACAAACAAATAAGAACAACATGAACAAAATCCCACAGCAAGGTCTCATTTTTCTCGTCTACTTTTCTTCTTATTCTGCATTTTGAATAGTCTGGCATTGAATAATTTGAGATAAACAGGTTTTAGCATTAGGCATTTAATTGCCATTGTCCTTTTTGTAATTCAGCTGTCATTGTGGGAGCAGACAGGGTTGTTGCTAATGGAGACACTGCCAATAAAGTTGGTACTTATCAGCTGGCAATTGCTGCAAGATACCATGGGATTCCCTTCTATGTGGCAGCCCCCAGCACTTCCTGTGACCTGCAATTAAAACATGGAGGGCAGATCGTTATTGAGGAGCGGCCAAGCCAGGAACTAACAGACATCAATGCTGTCCGAATTGCTGCACCAGGTAGCAAAACATTGTAAACATATGTAAACAAATGTTGCATGTAAAGAAAGGAAACATGATAGAATACTAATATTTTCAGTACTATTTGTAATCAGTGATCTAACAGTAGTTGTCCCAGCTTACATGAATCTAGATGATGTATATACTTTGAGTAAGTTTTCATTGATCAAGAAAATGTATTCTGACTTGAATCTCCTTGGATACATGACAGTCTAGTAAGCTATTATCTACTTTTTGAAGAATGACAATTGATTATGGAAATTTAATCCAAAGTTTCTTGAAGGACATCAAGTTGCCTACCATTGTCTGTATAACTTTTTTTAGTCTTGAAGCATCTAGATAATCCTTTTTGCATCTTCTCTTTTTAGAGATGATTGTTTCCCATGTTTTTAAAACTAAGCCATAACATTTACCATTAATGAAATAATTACATCTGTTATATAAACTATTGGAACAGCACATATATTTTCTTTCTTCCTAGGCATTGGTGTTTGGAATCCAGCCTTTGATGTCACACCTCATGAACTGATAACTGGTGGTATTGTCACTGAGTTTGGGGTCTTTCCTCCTGCTGAACTTCAAGCAGCCCTGACACGTGAAGTGTATAACATATAAAGAACCTGAGTTAAGTTGTTTCCAGATAGGGTGTGAATGTAATCTTCAACAATTGTTACTAGGGCTTCTTTCCCTAATCTGCAATCTTCCAGATGTTTGGGATACAGAATTTTGTACAACTGAAAATTGTAGTCCCAGTATCTCTGAATACCACTGAGGTTTGGAGAAATTGTACTAGAAACTTTTGAGTTTGGTGGGAATGCTTGATATTTCTGCAATGTTGTTACTAAACATTCATTTGCACATTCAGAAAATTAAATCATGTTTGCTTCTTGAGATTCATCTCCTTTGGCTTTGTGAGGGATGCTTCATTTTGGAACTTTTGAGTCATACTATGACATAAATTTTCTTTGACTTCATGTGATTTTTCTAAAAATATGTATAGTATAATTCTTTATCTCAATCATTTTTCATTTGTTGCTTAGATCTCTTTATTGACATTCTATTATGTATTCATTGCCCTGGTGACACAGTGGTTAGAATGCAATGGTGCAGGCTCACAATGTAGCATTCGATCCCGACAGGGGCTCAAGGTTGACTCAGCTACCACCCTTCAGAGGTCAGTAAAATGAGGACCCAGATGTTGGGGGCAATATGCTGACATTCTAAACCACTCAGAGAGTGCTTATATAAGTAAGTGCTATTGCTAATGCACCATTTTCAAAATTGTTCTTAAGGTTCCTTGGTGTTGTATCTCACATGGTTTTAATCTTATGACAACAGGTTCTCTGCGGCATTGCCTTCCAATGTAGGAGTTTTGTACCAGAAAATCTTTTGCAATACATTTTATTTAAGCCTAATCTTGGTAGATATAAAAGTATGACCCTCTACTGATCTCTCTATTGTGGAAGAGGCAAAGAAATTCAGAGGTGGTAGCCTGACATAATAAGGTTCATGGCAGAGGTCAACATTGCCTTACTTCTACTTTACTTTCAATAGGGTAACTGTTTAGGATCAATGCACACAACAAATATAAGTTCTGAATGTATGACATGACATTTAAGTTCCTTCCTGACTACTTCAGATCTTTCAGGTTGATTCATTATAACAACTTTTGTTTTCATTTTCTGTTCTTTAGACAAAATTCATTCCTCACAACAGGCTATGTATTTGTCATTACTTTTTATCAGAATAAGATGAAATCCCACAGTCTTCTATTTTGAAATAAGAGTTGGGTGCAGAAGGAGAAATATAAAACTTGTGCAGTGGAATGGGATAAAGTTTCTGTAGTAACAAATAAAAATTATTAACAGCCAGGAGTTGTTTAGAATGAATATGGTTTAAATATGAAAGTGTGGGATGAGAATGTACGAGGTTTATTGAGGTGGACTAAATAATTGCAAATTGAAATTCAACACACACACACACACACACACACACATGAAAAATGAACAGGCTGAAAGAAAGAAAGACTTAAAATATAATAATTTGATAAAGTCGATGAGATCCTCAAAAAAGAAAAAAAGTGATTATTTTTTAATCACTTTTTTAAGTATGAAAAACTGAATGTATGGACATAGTGGAAGAAAAGATAGTTTTCAAGGATAGACAAGTATGGAGAAGAAATTTTGAATGGTATTGGTGTTAACTAGATTTAGTTAGATTTCCTTTCATTTTCTCTTTTATTTCTTTTCCACATTATTTCCTACTCTTTTTCTGTTCTTTGAGTAACACTGCTAATCTCAAGAGAAATTGTGTGATGATTCATATGAACACTCCTCATATTTGACTTAATAGGGAGATATAAACATGAATAAATGTGTATCAGAAATTGCATTGATCCAGAAACATGATCAAAATAGATAGAAGTTTAATCTCTTTTGTTAGAGAGATTTAGTCAACCCACCTTCTGTCAATGATACTGTTAGAAGAATTATTGTGATTATGTATTCAAATGCTTTGAACCCTTCAAAGATACTGTTACTTAACTGTTTTATGACAGCAGAATTAATGCTTAAATGAAAATGGACAACCTCATATAGAAAGGGTTCTATAGAGATAGGGGCAATTTTAATTGGACAGAATGAAAACAATAATAATTCATGCTCATAAATTTGTTTTTTTAAAGCATTTAAATTTCCTAGGGCTTCAGAATCTATATAGGAGATTCTAAATTTGCAACTAATCATTTTCCAAAAGTGTAGCTCAAAGGAATCTAATTTTAACTTACGGGGAGGGGAAGGAGGAGGTTATGCTAGCTTTGATTGACTATAATTTTTAGCAGCTGCAGATCTAACCCTATTTTTAAAAATTGCTGCATCAATTAAATGAACTGAATTTGAAGTTATGACTGTTGTAGTAGAGCTGATCACTACCTGTGTAAATGTTCTGTATAGTTTGGTTGCGTTTGACTGACCCTAATGATTTTTTATTTCGCCAATTCGCAGATGGGTTCTTGACGCGCTGTGTTCATGAAAAATCCTAATGTGAAAATTTGCTTAAGGTCAGGGTAATTTAAATAGGCTGTCAAGAGAAGCTTTTAGAAAACCCAGTGTGTGATGCTAATATGCAAGAATTCTCATTAGGTATGCCTTATATTAAGACATTGATTTTTGGCTCTGTTCCTTCAAGTGGAAAGTTCCTCTTTCATCAGTTTGGATGGTGGGTATATTAAAAATAATTTCTCTCTCTGGATGTTGTAATGCCTATTTAATGGTCTTGCTGGAAAGGTTAAAACCAATTATTGTTGTGATTTTTTTCCTGCTGGCATTTCCATTGTGTATCATGGGTCAAACAATTAGCAACCATAAAAATGTTCATTGTCGAATGCTGCTATTATATCTATGTATCCAGAGCAAGTTAACTCCCCCCCCCCCATAAAACGAATATCCTAAGATTAGGTTATCGTTATGGCCTTGTAACATTTGCTATAATGTGTGCTGTTCTCATTCACATGCAAATATATTATTCTTTGGTCCAACTATTGCTGATTATTTATTTTAACTACAGAAGCTATGTGGTCTGTAATTGTCAGAAGAGGGGGGGGATAGGAAACTCAGATGTAACAGAAATTATTTTTAAAAAGAAAGCCGTAGCTTTATAAAAGTATTGATTTTATTTAATTTGTAAAAAATACCTTCTTTTCTTGTATAGTTTAGGATTCTTCAATGAGAAAAAAATTCTTGTATTTGTTTAATTCAAATAATATCTTTTAAAATATCTTATTTTGTACTTTTTCTGTGGACCTAAAATTATGTTTTTTGGCACTAGGTGGCATCTGAACTCTATCCTTTGTTTTAAAATGATTGCTGCAGGAGGAAGAATAAAAGTTTGCTATTATTTGTTTTTATTTGGATTTACTGAAAAGTCATTTTGACAATAAATTTGATAAACCAGATACATTTTATTTATTATTACTATTTATTTATTGTTCATTTCCTGTTGCTGTTATTTCTATAGCTTTCTTTCGGGAACAAGGCAGTCAGTTTGATCAGACTTTTGTTTGTTGTTTCCTTCACTTATCTGTTGATTAAACTGTAGATTGCTTGAAATTGTAAAACTTCAAAGTTCTCTTTGAAAATTTCTTTTAAACAATTTCTGGTTATTGGTTATTAACATTAACTGCTATTCAGTTATCAACAAAACATTAGTATGACTTTAGACAAATACTTTGCTGCTAGGTAGACTCTTTGCTCCAATTTATTTTTTTAAACATATAAAAATAAAGAGGAAGCTAGTAATCACAGTCTCAGGCATATGTTTGATTTGAGATGCCAGCTATCATATACTTTATAAAGCTTTACATGGCATGGAGAAGGATATTTGCAGGAATACCTTCTACTATTCTTTATGCTTGTCCTACCAGACTTAGCAGTGGCAGCATGTTCTGGTTTTTTCCCCTTTGAACAGAACCATAAAAATCTGCTGAGTAGAGTAGAGTACAGTAGAGTAACAGAGTTGGAAGTGACTTTTGAAGTCTTCTGCTCAGGCAGGAAACCCTATACCAGGTGTCAGCAAACTGCGGCTCTGGAACCGCATGTGGCTCTTTCCTCCCACTGCTGCGGCTCCATCACTGGTCAGCGCCACAATTTTGAGAGTAGCTTCCGGGTTGGGGGGGTTGGGAGAAACACAGTGCACCAGGAGAAGATTCTATGGCAAGGGGAGGGTTTTCCAGTTGTCTCCACAATTGATAGGATTTTTGGTTATGACAGATAGAGGAAAAAATACGCCGCGCTAGGAGGAGACTCTATAGTGGGGGAACTGAACTCCAGTCAGCTCCAGAATTGAACGGGGTTTCCGGTTGGGACCTTTGTGGCTTCCGTGTTTTCTTTTCTGTGGGAAATGGGTCCAAATGGCTCTTTGAGTGTTTAAGTTTGCCGACCCCTGCCCTATACCATTTCAGACAAATGGTTGAGCAATCTCTTCTTTAAAACTTCCAGTGTTGGAGCATTCACAACCTCTGAAGGCAAGCTATTCCACTGATTAATTGTTCTAACTGTCAGGAATTTTTTCCTTAATTCTAGATTGCTTCTCTCCTTGATTAGTTTCCACCCACTGCTTCATGTTCTATCGTCAGGTGCTTTGGAGAATAACTTGACTCCCTCTTCTTTGCGGCAGCCCCTAAGATATTGGAACCCTATTTCTTCTTTTCATCAGACTAGACATACTCGGTTCCAGAAACACTTATTTATATGTTTTAGCCTCCAGTCCCAAATAAGTAAATAGTAATAAAATGCAAGATTTTGATGCGTCCTCGTTCTTGTTTCTGTTTAATTGCCTCTAAATGGTTTTAATTGTTACTTTTATTGTGTTCTGCAAAAAGTCACACTTGTGAGATGAGTGGCCATATAAATTTTATAAAATTAACTAAATAAATATTGTTGGACTCAGAGGTTGTGCCTTCTGGGTGGCAGCATTTGCCCTCTACAACAGCATCTTTCTGGAAATTAGAATTTTGTTAGCCTTTTGAACAGCCAGGCTTTGTTTCCCCAGATCTTTTTTTTGGTCAAAATCTCTTTTTGGGGGGGGGGGTACAAAAAGATGGGTAAGCTATGCAGTTTTTGTGATTTGGACTTTATTGCTTTAATCATGGATACCTGGTTTATGTGGTGTAGTTCTTGTTTTAATCCTTGGATACTATCCACAGTCATGGTCATGAGATGGGCAACCATATAAATAATTTAAACAAAATAAGTAATCTGTCTTTCCAAAACAGTTCTAGCAGCCTTTATTCAGAATAAGATAGTGAAGGATGACAATAGGCTGAACCAATAAAGAAAAGTGGAAAGAAATTTGAGAATGAAGAGGAATGCTATCTGTGTAGAAAGTGTCAAACA